AGGTAGAGCTGTTGTTGAATTACTGGGTTAATTTACATGGCCATTGACACAGAAATCATCATTATTAAACAGAGATTGAAGGAAAGGAGGCAAAAGCAAAGGGGGAAGAGAGGAAAGGACAGTGGTTTTACAGAGTTCAAAGGAAAGAGGGAGAAGTATGGAACATCCAAAGTGACAGAACTGAATGAAAGAATAAATAAATAAATGTGGAAATAAATGCAAGAAAGAATGAATGAATAAAAGAATAAATAAATAAATGGGGAAATCTATCAAAGAAAGAATGAATGAATAAAAGAATAAATAAATAAATGCAGAAACATATCAAAGAAAGAATGAATGAATTAAAGAATAAATACATACATTTGCTTTTGCCTTTCCCCAAGGAGACCTATTGTCATTGCTTCTTCCTTAGAGACCTATTGTCATTGCTTTTCCCTTACAGACCTATTGTCATTGCTTTTTTTGCCTTCCTCTTCCTTAACTGTCAATCAACGTGTTGTGGCCCGCCCACTAAGTCAGGTCGAGCAGCCGATGACTGATACTATCTTCAGTTTGGATATGCTGTCCCTGGAAGAGTGTTATGATTGGTAGAAAGTTTAGAAGGAGTTATGCTGCGTTCAAGACCGGTCGGAACTGGGATATTTCCCAGTTGAAACTTCCGAATTCCCACATCAAAGCATTCAAGGTGCATGTTGGTGCATAACTCCGAAAGTGACCGAAAACCATGGCTAACTGTGACATGTACACACAGTTGCACCCTCAGCAGTGTTTTAGGTGTTAATTAAAAGGATGGCAGTTTAACTGCAACAACTTAATATAACATAAATAGGCCGAAGTTGCCTGTTTTCTGATGGACAGGCAAGGTATTCCAATTTTAGCATTGCAAATGAAAACTTATGACTAGCATTAGTCAGAAGCTAGCAATAGACACCGTGAGAAGTGACTTTTCCCTTGTCAGTGGTGTAAAATATATAGTTGGATAGTTTCATGTGGTTCTTCTCCCTCGCTGTGTTATGGCTGATTAGTATTATTGACTGCAAAACAGTAAGTTAGCCTAACGTTACAGCTAACAGCTCATATTAGCCGGCTAAATGTTTACAACCCTGTTAGAAGAAATATGTAACGTTAGTTGGATTGTTATTTCGAAGGTTGTTCTCCAGCGCTTCGGGTTTGTTTAGTGAACAGAAATGTGTCTTTTGTGTTTGTGAGACAATCAGCTGATGATTACAATTAGCTAAAAAAACGTATTGCATGGAGCATGGTGGCTCAGATTAGCAAGCTAAAGGTTTACTGCCCTGGTGGAAAACATTTATTTTTACTGATAACCGCATTATGATCACAACACTGTGTGCTTATCAAGTGACTAATTATAATTCTTGTCAGAATTTACATTAGAAACAACGTATTTGTTTGTATTGCTTCTAGGGTGCATACAAAGCATGTATAAAGCATTGTCTAGCATTGGTGCTTCTAGTGGAACAGACCAGTAAGTCATGCATAACAATATATTGTAGTGCATTTTTATGTTTTGCAGGCATTATGGTTTAGCATCCTTCGCCATGTCTCAACATTCACACCTGGACTATGGGAAGGTGCAAACACAGGCACCTTAAATCGGATCAAATGCGGGGAAAGATGTGGATCCAGAGAGACTCCCAGTGCCACAAAGCTTTAGTGGATATAGTTCTCGATAAGAGGTGGCAGAAAGATGTTCACAACTATCTGCGATTCAGGTAGTGTGGCTATACTTTTTCATACTGATGTATATTAGTAATATTTAAGCTTACTGCTCATGTACACAGAAGTATGTATTTGTTTGTTCTCAGATTGACTGCAGACCTAGAGTCATTCCAGAATCATATCCTGATGTGTGCCAGCAAGCGCTATGCTTTCAGCCCCCCAGTTTATGAGGAAAGAGTTCTGCTTGCTGCTTTGGACTACAATTTCCACCGGAACCGACCAACAATGAAAACATTGGACGGCAAAGAGACGTACGTTTTACACTTGTATAATATTCCCATTCATAGTACAATATTCAGCCCATGTTTTATATGCAAGTGATTGTCTTTACACTCAAGGTTTTCTCTTGTTCTACTTACCAACCGATTTTAAATGGTTGTAATTTGTTTAATTTCAGTTTCAGAAGATTGTATATGAAGAACGGTTTGCCTTAAAATCTGAAAAAACCTACGGATACATTTCAAAGTTGCACAGAAGGATTGTGAAGAACAGACTCACAAGTGGAGTGGGGATGCCTAGAAGGCCTTCTCCCAGATGACCCCAGACAGCTTGGTTTGGTGCCCCCCGTACCTGCACCAGCCACATCAGACTTCTAGGTATGTTACACAAATTTGTTTCCTATGTTGTACCATATTACATGTCACTGAATTATATTTACATTACAATATAGTCTGTAACTATGTTTGATGGCACTGCCTTCAACAGGACCGTTATTCCAGCCAGCATCTGATGTGGAAGGATTCCCACAGGAGATCACCTTGCATGTGTCCTGGTACTTGTCAGGCAGGATCACGAGGGAAAGAACTTCAGTTCACTGACAAAGTCATAACGTTTACTCTTCAAAAAGAGAAATTTATTAACATTAAATTCTGTTCTTACCGTCCTACAGTGGTTATTTCATGTTGTTCCAATTTGTAAACATTTCATCTTATTCTGCTAAGTCCACTGTGACCAACGCATATTATTTTCAGTAGGTAGCCTAAATTACAGTTTACAATTTGAACAGTAATGAGAAGTAAGGCTACAGCTGTCCCCTATTATGTAAATATAAATAACTAAAATTGGTATTGGAAATGTTATGGCAAAGTTTGAAATTCTAAACACAGGTTCAAATGTATATAATGAAAATAAAAACACCATGTGCTTCTATTTCTTACCTTTTTATTTATTCGATACCATAGAACTGCAGTTGAACAACTATAACACAATACAACTATACAAAATACATAAAGAGGGAAGAAATATGAATAAATATATATAGAAATGTAATAATAAATCAAATGTTAACTATGTACATTTGTTTGATGCCTTGATGATGCTGAGGCAGGTTTGTGAGTATTTGTGTGAAACTGTATGACCATACCAGAGGGCCTGGTAGGAAATTCACAGTCCAGGAATAAAACCCGTGTAGTGTCCTTGAGGATCAGGGAACCTGTCTCTAATCCTCCAAACACAACAACTAGAGACAACAAGTTGGTTTCCCTGGCCTAAAGCTCCATGTTGCCAATAGATGAAGTGTCTATAGGCACCATAGCGGGACTCCCTGTTGTCATCCCCAGGCTCCCTGATGTTGCCTAATGCCGTACTGTCCTCCTGGTACTGCCTGTAAATGCGAATAAAGCCTTCTTCAAGGCAGTACTGGGAGAAGTGTGGCAGAAGGCTCACACAGTTCGCTTGCTCCTGGCCACAGCATTTCCCTACAGTTACCACAAGTACACCAAGGTACTCCTGGCACTCCGGCAGAAGGTGGGGCACCATGTCTACGCTGATGCATCATCAAGGCATCAAAGACCAGGCCTGGCTGCCTCTCCAGCAGAAGGGTGGAGAGCTCTGTGTTCTTCAAGGGTCATCTCCTGAAAAAGTCTGAAGAAAGAGGACACAGGGAAAAATACTCAATATGCAATATTCTCTGCTTCAATACGCTGGTTACTCTGTCTCGATGTTGTTTTTAAGATTGTATCCATTCCAAATGAAATATACCGGTACTCATTATTACTATTAATATTTAATGCACTACTACTATTTATCATTACACTTCTGTTGATGCTGTAAATTACTTAACATGTCCACAAAGAATTTGTGATTCTGATAAAATAAGGCTTTATAAGTTGCATGACATTATGTTGGCAACATGGTACTGCATATTAGGGTTTGCAGGCTGGCCAGTGTTTGCTCAACTTGTATAATATGGCTTCATATAATCATTGTTGCTGAGTAAATGACATGTTACTACTATCTAACGTTACAGTACCAGGGGTACATGTGCACAGAGCTGCTATGTAAATAACGTTTTCACTGTGTGCTGGGGTTTGTCATAAAATGCAAACAGGTCAGAATATAATAACGTTACAACAACTGTATAAATACAAACCTCGGTAACAGCCCTTGGGTTCCTTTGGAGGGCTTCCACTCTAGGTAGGTCCTCTGTCTCTCCTTGCCCTGACTGCACCTCCAACACCTCTGCCTCTCCGCCCTCTTCCTCTCCCTCTCTCTCTTAAAGTTATCTCCGGTAAATAGACTTCTGCATTTAGATCACATCGACATGTGCTGGTTCTGTCTAACATTAGCTTCTTCTTCTTCCTCTTCTTCTTCCTTGTGCGTTTATTGTCAGTTGGCAAACAACGAATTGGTGCGTTACCGCCACCAACTGGAGTTTGTATCAAACCTTTATACATCTCTGATCATGGAGAGAAATACTTCTGTGAGTGATTAGTTGGACTTAGTGGGTGGGCCACAACACGTTGATTGACAGTTAAGGAAGGGGAAGGGAAAAGCAATGACAATAGATCTCCTTGGGAAAAGGCAAAAGCAAATGTATGTATTTATTCTTTTATTGTTTTATTCATTCATTCATTCTTCATTTGATATATTTCTGCATTTATTTATTTATTCTTTTATTAATTAATTCTTTCTTTGATATATTTCCGCATTTATTTTTTATTTGTTTATTCATTCATTCTTTCTTGCATTTATTTCCACATTTATTTATTTATTCTTTCATTCAGTTCTGTCACTTCCTGTACATCTCATTGAAATGAGATGTAGAGGAATAAGCAGGTGAGATGAGACAATAATATGTAGACTTAGATGTGGACACACTGGACTAATATACACTATTTAAAATAGGTAAACATAATACAGGCAGATGTAACTGGGCAAAATGAAACAGTATAGCATGTTATATTACAAATATGAGGAAGAAACAAGCCATGTGATTCAAAACCTCAAAATGAAGAAGAAGAAAACAACTGACTATGGGAGTTTCATTAGATCACGGTGGAAACCTGGAACTGAAAGTGTTCAGTCAGTTTAGACTCCATTTTGGGAGGACAGAGCAGGAGGAAAACTGAAGGCTGAGGCAGGGTGAGTGTTAATCCAAGAATTGTAGTATTTTACTGTCAAAGTCTCTGAGTCAGTTTTCTCCCTGTTGACTGTAGAGGAAAGAAATGTTAGAGTGAACTCAACACTTTGATTCATCTGTGTACACAAAGTTGTGAATGGCTGAGTAAAACACATTAAACCTGCAGTAACCAAGAAAACAAGCAGAGATTTAAAGCCTATTTTGTGTCTCTTGAACAAACCTGTTTTTCTTGATTCTTGTGTTCTGAGCTCACAGTCAGTGTCACTGTTTTACCTCTCAGCCTGACTGAAGTCCAGAAGATGAGTGGTTGTGTGGAGGAAGAGGAGGACAGAGCAGAGTCTCCAGTATGCAGCTGTCTGTCCTTGAAGAGTGACCGGTCCAAATCCAATTTTCCTCCATACTTCAGTAATGAACCTGGACCCTCAGACACAAAGTAAGAGAACATTACAAACTTATTCTGTGTTTGCTGTTTGCCACTAGTATATGTATAATAACATTAGGCGTCATGATCAAAGAAAGAGGTGGTTTTCACATAGATTACCAAATAGTTTAGGCTTCACTTACCCAGATATTGTTAATTAAAATATCCACTACATTTAAACTCTAAATTGAATGTGCCTTTAGAGTTGTGAATACAAGTGCAACAAATACAGAAAACACATTTATCAAAGTCTAGTTTAACTTAAACATTGTAACTTGTTTGTACCAAAACATCAAACGTATGGTTTAGCTGCAAACAAGCAGAGCCGTTATTCATCCAAGACTGACCATTTACTGTGTTTGCAGTGTAATAAAATAATGAAAGTTGCCCTCATTCAGTGTGTGTGTGTGTGTAACACAATTCACTGAGTGTGAATACTTTTGACTTGGTAGTATATTAACATAAACAAAAAATTATTTGTATTTCTTAGTATCTGTGACAGCTGTCAGTCACCTGAAGCTGTAATCTGATCTAAGAGAACTAATACAAACTTTCTAATACTAAACCTTCTGATTATTGACAGCAGCAGTTTGTGTGTGAAGAGCCTCTTAAATGGCTTTAATTTATCAAGGATTCATGTTATATCAATAAAACATCTTGGTATTTGCAGAGACAGACAGAGAGCAGAGTCTGCAGTATCCAGCTGTCTGTCTATGAAGAGTGACCGGTCCAATGTGTTCTATCTTCCAGACTTCAGTAATGAACCTGGACTAACAGACACAAAGTAAGAGTCTGTCTTTTTACTGTAGACTGACCCTGATGGAAGATAATACACCTGAAAGAATCTGCTTCAAATTTGTAATTTAATTTATCATATTTGTCCTCAAAATATTGAGTTGTTATGATTGTTATGTTATGATGATCAGTTCATATTAGGGCTGAACGATATTACCTAAAGCCTGTAATGTGGTTTAGCTGCTAACAAGCAAGCTGTTATTCATCCAAGACTGACCATTTACTGTTTTCAGTGTAATAAAAAGGAGAAGCTACAGTGGCCGACACGCTTTGTCAGCTCCTCAGACCACCCACCAACAATAAAAATTGATACGACTCATCAATGAAGCCTCATAGTAATTCACCAATAGATAGCATTCCTACAAAAACAGTAGTCCAAAACACATTAATCCATCAATAAATACCTAGGAAGAAGAGCAGAAAATAATGATAATCTAGCTTCAACTAGGAAGTTCATGGTCAGCCGGCAAAAAACATCTCTGTAAAGCTGCTGGCTATTTATGGAGTGATGCGAAGCTGCAAGGGACAGCTGCTGTTTAAAAGTAACAATAAATAAAAACCCAGACTAGGCCTTAAAGAAACCAAATATACCAAACTGTAAATTTTTTATGGTATTTCAATAAAATTTTAACTTGTAAGGCTTCATGCTGTGGCCCCACGTGTTTTACAGCTAATAAGTCCTAGCTGTAGTTGTCTGCATGGATGTGTTTGCAAACATTTTTAAACAGAAAAAAACCCCTTCTACTTTAGTTTGTTAAAACGTATATTACTTAATTCCAGTAGCACTGATATTGATTCTGAATTTACTTTGGGTATGCCTTGGGTAGGTGCTTTCGGCAAATTTAACAGTAATAGCAAGAAGTTAACACTTTGCTTTGATTTGAATAATTAGTAAGTGGACCATTGTGCTGAGATTCTCTCCATCATATTTTTTTCCTAAAGGTCAAGAAAAGACATTCATGGGCAGCACTGATGGAAAAGCTATCAGTGGATTAAAAAGTATGTCAAATGTAGATTTGGACCACTTCTCTTTTTAGAATATACGAATATATACCTTAATTTAATAGTTGACAGTAGAGAGTGACAGGAAAAATAAAGGGAGTGACATACTTGAAAGGAAACTGACTGGACTTAAACCTGTGACACCACAGTTCCCTTGCGTTGCCTTCGCGTCGCTGGGCCCCGCCCCCTTCACGTTGCTTCGCACTGGCCGACAGGAAATCGTGGCTCTACGGGTCTTTGTATTGACTTTGTATGTAAACTCACTGCCCCAAATGCTCGAAAGCACCATTAAGCCCTAGTTTCTCCAGAGGCGTGCGACCTCTGACATGTATAGCAGCTGTAAATCGCTTTGGATAAAAGGGTCAGCTAAATGAATAAATGTAAATGTAATGTAATGTAAATGAAGAAAACTCTTTAGCAAAGAAAGGCACCACAAGTAGCCCTGCATTTTGGGAGTGCAGTGCTCTAGTGGGGTAGTATGTAGATATGAGCTCTTTGAGCTTACCACAACAACCAGCAGCGCATGTAGATGCAGCCGGTAGGTCCTTCAAACTTTGCTACACTTTTGTTTTTCATCTGTTTTTTTCCAGCTTTTTTGCTGAAATACTTGGTAGCCTACCTATGAAAGAAATACAGTCATTGGAAAAGGAAGGTTTTTGGATTAAAGAGCAGCAGACCACAATCCACACGGCCCAAATAATTGGACCAGGCACCACGGTGATGGCTCAGAGGAGCCTTGCCAAGGCCAGACCCACGACTGTCCAGGCATAGTCAGAGATTAATGTGTCTATCCGGGACCTCCTTGGGAAACAAAATCCTGTTGAGCTATGAAAATTAGGTTCCATGGTAACTCAAATATGTGTATTTGTATAAGGCAGACCCCCTCTCTTTTTTTATTTAACTTTATTTAGTTTCTGTATTTTCTTAACTCATTTCTCCTGTCTTTGCTTATGTCTCTGTCAATTATCTGTACCTATGTATGTAAACTGTTTGGTTTATTTGCTTTGATAAAAAAAGTAATCACAAAAAAACAAGTCAGTCACACAGGAATAGTAGCTAATCAGTGTTTATGAAAGCAAGAAATTTAAAATGAAAGGAATAAAACAATTAAAGCAGAAAAGTAACAAACTTTTACTGTTCTCTGTGACCATCTGTGTTTCTACACAGTGTCGGACAAATCTTGATATTTTTCAACAACAAGCAACAAATCATTTTAGTTCCCCTTCGAGGGAACTCGAACTGCGTCGGGTACGACACTACGGGAACGCCTCTAGGCGTAGCAGGTCTGAACGTGAATGAAATCACTTCCAATCCTATTGGCTTGTTGCTAGAACGGTAAGGTGTGACAGAATAACCGGAGGAGTATAAAGCACACCTGTACACACTCATCATTAGCTTTTTTTTTATTCAGCAGGCGCTCTGTATGTTGTTTGAAGAAAGCTCCAGTCCTACAAGCAGTATGTCTTACCTGAAGAAGAAGTCTACCAGCATGTCCGGCAACCAGATGTACAGAAGGTGTGTTTTTTTTCTTGCCCTCGGTACATCACGGATGGAGATTCTCATGAGATGTGTATCTCATGTTTGGGAATGGAGCACGCCCGGGCAGCTCTCGAGGGGGCTCGTCGGACCGTCATCCAGTCCCGACGGAGCTCAGGGAAGACCGGGGTAGGGGAGTCTTTCTCCCCTCCCGCACCCCCACCCCACCCCCCCCGGAGGCCGACCGAGGTCCCCTCCGCCGTGGCAACAGGTGATGTTATCCCGCCGTTTACACGTTCAGGACGCACCTGCCACCATCGAGTCCACGCCGTACTGCCTGCCCCAAGGGTCTGCAGTCGGGTGGTGTCCCGACTCACTCACCGTGGATCTTCGGCGGCTCTCCACCAGAAGATCACATGAGACACCGACCACCAGCCCCGAGGGGCTGGTTCCGTTGGCAGACTTTGCAGAGGTTTGCCTTCGGGGGTGTGGCTTACCAGTATCGGGTTCTTCCATTCGGCCTGGCACTTCCCCTCGCACATTCACCAAGTGTATGGATGCAGCACTGGCCCCGCTGAGGCTCCAGGGCATCCGGATTTCAACTTCATCGACGACTGGCTCATCCTAGCCCAGTCTCGAGAGTTGGCGAGATGTCGTTCTGGCTCATCTGTGGCGTTTAGGGCTGAGGCTCAACGCAAAGAAGAGCGTGCTGGCGCCCACCCAACGGACTACGTTCCTAGGGGTTGTATGGGATTCGACAACGATGCGGGCACAATTGTCTCCAGCACGTGTCGACACCATATTGGCTGCCGTGAAAGGGGTGAAGTTAGGCCACGCCATCACTATGAAACACTTTCAACGAGTGTTGGGTCTCCTGGCGGCTGCGTCCAGCGTAATACCATCTCGACTGCTGCACATGAGACCCCTGCAGTGGTGGCTAAGGAACAAGGGTTTTTCTCCGAGGGGAAATCCTCTCCGTCTGATTTGGGTTACGCGCAAGTGTCTTCGTTCCCTATCAGTTTGGAAGGAAACTTGGTTCCTGTCCCAGGGGCCTGTGCTGGGAGGGTCTTGTCGCCGGCTGGTTATTTCGACAGACGCCTCCCTCACGGGCTGGGGCGCGGTCATGGACGGCCTCTTTGCAAGGGGATCCTGACAGGTGCATCAATCCGAGTGGCATATCAACTGTCTCGAGATGTTGGCGGTGTTCCAGGCTCTAAGGAGTTTCCTGCCCGATCTCCAAGGCCACCACGTCCTGGTTCGTTCCGAAGAGAACAACACAGGGGTGGTGGCCTATCTGAATCACCAGGGCGGTCTGCGTTCGCGCCCTCTGGACAGACTGGCGCGTCAGATCCTCCTGTGGTCCCAGCAGAGGTTACTATCGCTCAGGGCGATGTATCTCCCGGGGACGCAGAATCAGGGAGCAGACCTGCTGTCGAGGCAGGGGCGGAGGCCCGGGGAACGGAGATTTCACCCCAAAGTGGTGGAGCTCTTGTGCGAAGAGTTTGGCCCCATAGACGTGGATCTGTTTGTGTCTCAAGAGACTACGCACTGCCCGCTATGGTTTTCTCTCATTCCTCCAGCCCCGTTGGGTCTGGACGCCATGGTACATTCGTGGCCGAGGCTACGTCTGTACGCTTTTCCCCCAGTCGCTCTGCTCCCGGGGGTTCTGGAGCGGGTCCGCCAGGACAATGTCGGCCTACTGCTCGTAGCCCCGTTCTGGCCAACCCGGGTGAGGGTCTCGGACATCATGTCGCTCCTGGACGGCCCGCGAGGAGAGACCTGCTGTCCCAGGCGCAGGGCCTGCTGTCCCAGGCGCAGGGCCGGGTTCTTCACCCTTGCCCCACCATATGGCGACTGTGGGTCTGGCCCCTGAGGGGGCACAGTACCTAGAGGCGGGTCTAACAGCCGGAGCAGTCGAGACCCTCCTGAGCTCCAGGGCCCCGTCCACACGGAGGATGTACGGCCTGAAGTGGAGTGTTTTCTCCACTTGGTGTAGGGAGCGGTCGGTGGACCCTGTTACCTGCCCGGTGGTTCAGGTACTTGAGTTCCTCCAGGACCGGTTCTCTGCTGGTCTTTCCCCTTCCACCCTCAAGGTGTACGTGGCAGCTATTTAGTCTTTCCACACCCCTCTGAGGGAGGGGTCCTTGGGGAAACTTCCCTTGGTTGTACGTTTCCTCCGTGGTGCCCGGACAATGGTTCTTGGGGCGTTGGCTGAGGCCCCCTTCGAACCCCTGGAGTCAGCTGAGGCTAAGCACTTGACCCTCAAGATGGCCTTTCTCCTTGCTATCACCTCTCTTAGGAGGGTGGGGGATCTCCAAGCACTTTCGGTTTCCCCGCAAAGCCTGGAGTTTGCCCCGGGGAATATTATGGCTATCCTGCACCCTCGTTCAGGATACATCCCTAAAGTGCCTTCTTGTGCAGCAGGGTCCACAGTGCTGCAGGCATTTCATCCTCCACCTCATGTGACGGCGGAGGACGGGAGACTTCATCTGCTCTGCCCTGTCAGAGCACTGAGTATTTTCACTCTGAGGTCCTCCCGTTGGAGGAAGGCTGACCAGCTGCTAGTGTGTTTTGGGTCTCCCAGGGCCGGGCTCCCTGCATCCAAACATACTATTAGCAACTGGATTGTTCAAACTATTTCCCTGGCCTATCAGGTGCGCGGTTTGCCTTCACCTGTGGCTGTAAGGGCTCTTTCTACCAGAGGCATGGCAGCCTCTCGAGCCCTCCTTTCTGGGGCCTCTTTGCAGGATGTTTGTTTAGCGGCTGGCTGGGCCACTCCGCACACATTCATTCGGTTTTACAGTCTTGACCTTCCTTCGGCACCTGGCACTCGTGCGCTCTCCTCTTAGTCGTGCCACTTTATTGCACACAGGGGCAGGCGGGGTTTTCGGCACGGTTTAGTGGGTATCTCGTTCCCATAGTGTCGTAACCGACGCAGTTCGAGTTCCCTCGAAGGGGAACGTCTCAGGTTACGTATGTAACCCTGGTTCCCCGAGAAGGGGAATGAGACACTGCGTCGGCCCGCCGCACCTCTCTCCCCGCCTGAAGCGCCTGCTTCATAGTTTAAGCTAATGATGAGTGTGTACAGGTGTGCTTTATACTCCTCCGGTTATTCCGTCACACCTTACCGTTCTAGTAACAAGCCAATAGGATTGGAGTGATTTCATTCACGTTCAGACCTGCTACGCCTACAGGCGTTCCCGTAGTGTTGTAACCGACGCAGTGTCTCGTTCCCCTTCTCGGGGAACCAGGGTTACATACGTAACCCGAGACGTTCTAATGACATGTTGTCACAGAGAGAGGAAGAGGAGTCATGTTTCTGTGGAGGAGCAGCCGTCCTGCTGTGCTTTGTGTCAGGACGTCCTGAAGGATCCAGTTTGTACCAGCTGTGGTCAATGGTTCTGCAGACAGTGCATCACCTCATACTGGGACCAGTCTGCTTCACCAGGAGACTCCGCCTGTCCTCTTTGTGGAGAGAGATCCAGAACAAGAGCTGGACTGCAGACAGCCAGTCAGAGCAGCTCTGTACAAAGTAAGACTGTACATCTTAAAAATATAACCAGCTACATGTCAATACATTATATTTGTATAGAGACTTAAAATAAGTGCATTCAACCATGTGGATATAAATTGCAGGAATCATGTAGTACATCAACTTCATAAAATAAGTTGCAGCTTCAAGTTCTACATTTAGTTAATGAGTTTTCAGGCTGAAGATGTGAACACTTTCTGCTAAAGCCAAAAGAAGGGATTTTGTTAAGTGGTAGCTGGGCCCCTCTTGTAGTGAGTGAGTAGAAAGGTGATTGGCATTAGCGGAGCGTATGGACAGACTGGGGTGTTTGGTTTAACCATGTCCTAGATGTTGGATGACCACACTATAGGCAAGTACCAGTATCTGGAATCACACCAAAGTCACCGGTACCCAGTGCAGTTTTGAAGAAAACCTGGTTGCAATACCATCTGGGCTGCTGCATTCAGGATTAGCTGCAGAGGTCTGATGGCACATGAGGCAGACCGACTATGCTAGTGGTCATTTACAGAGGCCAACCTGAGATGGTCTCTTCCCTCAAACCAAAGCCACATCTGGAGCTAAACTGATTGGATCAATACGTGCTTCTGCAGGTGATCAGAGAGAAAGCTCTGTTTTTAAAAGTCTCTCTGTGTTCACCTCACCATAGAAACTAATTGTTTCGTAGCAATGTAGCAATTTTCTCTACATCTTGAATTTCGTTGTGCAAGCCTACGTTGAAATGAGTGGATATGTCAGAGATCTGCAGTGCATTGTTAGCTGTGCTATTGAATAAAACAGGTCTCCACAACAAGATCTGAATATATTTTGTATTTGTTTGGTGGATTTGTTTGAAATATTGCATAAATGAAGGAACGGCCACAGTGAGCTGTTCAGATGAAGAGCTACAGACAAGCAGCTGCGGTTCAGCCTGTCGCCTCTGCGGTCAATCAAACACACAAACACACACCAACACACAGTCTGAGGCTGAGAGAAAGGGGAGCATTTCTAATGTTCCACAAAACTTGACTTTTTAACCATTACTTCTCTATATATATTATATTATTTTTATTGGGAATGAAAATAATAAAAGATTGTCAAACTTTCTTTTTTAGTGAGTGGTGGTCTGCAGGAGGTTTTAGATGAACATAAGATCAGTCTGAGGAGGAGATGTGAATGTGTGACTGAAGGAAGTGATGCAACAGGAAGTAGAACCCTCCTCAAAAGGATCTACACTGAGCTCTACATCACAGAAGGACAGAGTGAAGAGGTTAATACCCAACATGAGGTGAGGCAGCTTGAGACAGCTGCCAAGATGGAGACCCTCCATGAAACTCCAATCAAGTGCCACGACATCTTTAAAGCCTTACCTGACCAACAAAGACCCATCAGAGTGGTTCTGACCAACGGCATCGCTGGTGTTGGAAAAACCTTCTCAGTGCAGAAGTTCACTCTGGACTGGGCAGAGGGCTTGGAAAACCAAGATGTTAGTCTGCTGGTTCTGCTCTCATTCAGGGAGCTGAACTTGATGAAAGATGAGCAGTACAGTCTTCTCACGCTGCTCCATGTTTTCCATCCAACATTACAGAAGGTCCCAGCAGAGAAGCTCACTGTCTGTAAACTGTTGTTCATCTTTGATGGCCTGGATGAAAGCAGACTTTCCTTAGATTTCCACAACAATGAGGTTGTGTCTGATGTCACACAGAAGTCATCAGTCAACTTGCTGCTGACAAACCTCATCAACGGGAATCTGCTTCCCTCGGCTCTGGTCTGGATAACTTCCCGACCTGCAGCAGCCAACCAGATCCCTCTATCATGTCTTGACAGGGTAACAGAAGTACGAGGCTTCACTGATGCCCAGAAGGAGGAGTACTTCAGGAGGAGAGTCAGTGATGAAGAGCTGTCCAGCAGAATGATCTCACACATCAAGACATCCAGGAGCCTCCACATCATGTGTCTAATCCCAGTCTTCTGCTGGATCACTGCTACAGTTCTAGAGCACATGTTGAGTACAGACCAGAGAGGAGAGCTGCCCAAGACCCTGACTGACCTGTACTCACACTTCCTGCTGGTTCAGACACAGAGGAAGAAGCAGAAGTACGATGAGGGACATGAAACAAGTCTGATGGAGACGGACAGGAAGGTTCTTCTTAAGCTGGGGAGGCTGGCGTTTGAACATCTGGAGAAAGGAAACATCATGTTCTACCAAGAAGACCTGGAGCAGTGTGGTCTTGATGTCACAGAGGTCTCAGTGTACTCAGGAGTTTGTACAGAGATCTTCAAAAGAGAGAGTGTGATCTTCCAGAAAACAGTCTACTGCTTTGTTCATCTGAGCGTTCAGGAGTTTCTGGCTGCAGTCTACGTGTTCCACTGTTACACCAACAGGAACATAGAGGTACTGGAGGCATTTCTGAGGGAAAAACATGTTGATTCAGCCCTTGATGTCTTCCTGAAGGGAGCAATGATGAAATCCCTTCAAAGTAAAAATGGCCATCTGGACTTATTTGTTCGCTTCCTTCATGGCCTCTCTCTGGAGTCCAACCAGAGACTCTTAGGAGGCCTGCTGGGTCGGACAGACAACAGTCCAGAAATCATCCAGAGAGCCATCAATAACCTGAAGAAGATGAACACAAAAACCTCTCCTGACAGAAGCATCAACATCTTCCACTGTCTGATGGAGATGAACGACCACTCAGTACATCAGGAGATCCAAGCGTTCCTGAAGTCAGAGAACAGATCAGAAAAAGAACTCTCTGAGATCCACTGCTCAGCTCTGGCCTACATGTTGCAGATGTCTGAGGAGGTTCTGGATGAGTTGGACCTGCAGAAGTACAACACATCATACCAGGGACGACAGAGACTGATTCCAGCTGTGAGGAACTGCAGAAATGCTCGGTAAGTCCAGATGTGATTATAATTATTAAGCAACATAAAGCGGAAGCCATCAGTATTACAATAAAGACACAAACTTAACAGACATGCACAATATAAAAACCTCCACACTATAAAAGTTTTTTTTAACTAAACTGCAGATGTCTAAAAACATAATTTGTATATATATATAGATAGCTCAGTGGTAATGCCATTCAATTCAATTCAATTCAATTTTACATATAGCGCCAAATCACAACAACAGTTATCTCACAGCGCTTTTCATAAAAGAGCAGGTCTAGACCGTACTCTGTGATGTTATTTACAGAAGCACAACAGTTCCCACCAAGAGCAGCACTAGGCGACAGAGGCAAGGAAAAACTTCCTTTTAAGAGGCAGAAACCTCGAGCAGAACCATGGCTCAGGGTGGGCGGCCATCTGCCTCGAGAGAGAGAGAGAGAGAGAGCGAGAGAGAGAGAGAGAGAGAGAGAGAGAGAGAGAGAGAGGAGGGAGGCAGCCTACACACTGTACACACACAGAGGTACAGACAGTAAAGGTGATGTTGCTATAGACTAAATGAAAAAATGGTACAGATATTTATAGTAGTGTTAATGGTAACAGTTGTAATGTTAATGATTATAATAACAATAACAACAATAGGACTAGTAACAATAGTCGTTGCAGCAGAGGGTGTCAAGCAGGAACACGGGGGCAGCAGGTGACCCGCAGCCACAGATCCAGACTCCACAGCTCCAGAGCCAGAAACACCTGCAGGAAGTGATAGGAGAGAGGAGAGGGACGAAAAAGCACAAGACTACCGGAAAGGGGAGAAGTTGTGTTAGTAACATGCAATAATGGGATGAGGTTGCATACAGACGGAGAGAGAGTAGAGGAGAGAGGAGCTCAGTGCATCATAGGAAATTCCCCGGCAGTCTAGGCCTAAAGCAGCATAACTAAGGGATGGTTCAGGACTAACCTGAGCCAGCCCTAACTATAATCTTTATCAAAGAGGAAAGTCTTAAGCCTACTCTTAAATGTGGAGATGGTGTCTGCCTCCTGAACTCAAACTGGAACCTGGTTCCACAGGAGAGGAGCTTGATAGCTGAACGCTCTGGCTCCTAGTCTACTTTTGGAGACTCTAGGAACCACAAGTAACCCTGAATTCTGGGAGCGCAGTGCTCTGGTGGGGTAGTAAGGTACTATGAGCTCTTTAAGATAAGATGGTGCCTGACCATTAAGAGCTTTGTAGGTAAGAAGAATGATTTTAAATTCTATTCTGGATTTTACTGGAAGCCAATGCAAAGAAGCTAAGACAGGAGAAATATGATCTCTTTTCCTGGTTCCTGTCAGAACACGTGCTGCAGCATTCTGGATCAGTTGAAGAGTCTTAACGGACTTTTTCGAGCAGCCTGATAATAAAGAATTGCAGTAATCCAGCCTAGAAGTAACAAATGCATGGACTAGTTTTTCTGCATCATTTTTAGACAGGATGTTCCTGATTTTCGCAATATTACGTAGGTGAAAAAAGGCGGTCCTTGAAATTTGCTTAATGTGAGACTTAAACGACATGTCCTGATCAAAGATAACTCCAAGATTCCTCACAGTGGTGCTGGAGGCCAGGGCGATGCCATCAAGGGAAACTATATTTTTAGATAATGCGTGACGGAGGTGCTTAGGCCCCAGAACAATAACTTGAGTCTGAGTTTAACATTAGAAAATTACAGGTCATCCAGGTTTTAACATCCTGAAGGCACATTTGAAGTTTACCTAACTGATGAGTTTCATCTGGTTTGATCGATAGATATAACTGAGTATCATCTGCATAACAATGAAAGCTTATGGAATGTTTCCTGATAATATTGCCTAAGGAAGCATATATAAAGTGAAGTGGATTGGTCCGAGGACAGATCCTTGAGGAACTCCATGACTAACTTTGGCATGCATTGAGGACTCATCGTTAACATGTACAAACTGAAATCGATCGGATAAATAGGACTTAAACCAGCTTAGAGCGGTTCCTTTAATGCCAATGAAATGTTCCAGTCTCTGCAATAGGATCTGATGGTCAATGATATCAAATGCAACACTAAGATCTAATCAAACCAGTACAGAGACAAGTCCTTTGTCTGATGCAATAAGGAGGTCGTTAGTAGTTTTCACCAAAGCTGTCTCTGTGCTATGATGAGCTCTAAATCCTGACTGAAAATCCTCAAATAAACTATTGCTCTGTAGAAAGTCACACAGCTGTTTAGCAACTGCTTTCTCCAGAACCTTAGAGAGAAATGGAAGGTTAGATATAGGTCTATAGTTGGCTAAAACATCCGGATCGGGTTTGGGCTTTTTCAGAAGAGGTTTAATTACAGCTACTTCAAAGTACTGTGGTACATAGCCTGTTGATAAAGATAGATTGATCATATCTAGTATAGAAGTGCTGACTAAGGGTAAAACATCTTTAAGCAACCTAGTTGGGACGGGGTCTAAGAGGCAGGTTGAAGGTTTAGATGAAGAAATTATTGAAGTTAGTTGGTAAAGATTGAGGGAAGCAAAGCAGTCTAAACATATATCTGGTTCTACAGCTGTTTCTAAGGTTCCTGAGTTAAGAGATAAGTTGGTGCCAGTTGAGGGCAGGTCTTGGTGAATTTTGTCTCTAATAGCTAGAATTTTATCATTAAAGAAGCTCATGAAGTCGTAACTACTGAGAGCTATGGGAATACTTGGCTCAATAGAGCTGTGACTCTCTGTCAGCCTGGCTACAGTGCTGAAAAGAAACCTGGGGTTGTTCCTTTTTTTCTCTATTAATGACGAGTAGTACGCTGCTCTGGCATTACGGAGGGCAGTAGTAGACAAGTAGTTTTAAGACTATCTTGCCAAATTAAACGAGAATTTTCCACTTTGGTGGAACGCTAATTCCTCTCAAGTTTCCACGATATTTGCTTTAATTTGTGAGTTTCAGTATTATACCATGGAGTTAACCGTCTTTGTTTTATTATTTTCTTTTTTAGAGGGGCTACAGAGTCCAGTGTCAATCGCAGCGAGCCTGCAGCACTATCAACAAGATGATCGATTTGGGAGGGACTGAAATTAGCATAGGAGTCCTCCGTTACTTTGTGACTTGAAAATGAATTTAGAGCTGATGGAATCGCATCCTTAAATTTAGCTACAGCACTATCAGACAGACATCTTGTATAGAAATTTTTGCCCAATGGCGTGTAGTTCAGCAATACAAACTCAAAAGTTATCAAACAGTGGTCGGACAAAGAGGGATTCTGTGGGAACACTATTAAATGTTCAATTTCAATACCATACACCAAAACAAGGTCGAGGGTGTGGTTAAAACAGTGAGTCGGTTCATGAACACTCTGAGAGAAGCCAATGGAATCTAAGAGAGAGATAAACGCAGTACTGAAGCTGTCATTCTCAACGTCCACATGAATATTAAAATCCCCTACAATAATAACTTTGTCCGTTTTAAGGACTAAAGTTGACAAAAACTCTGCAAATTCAGATTAAAATTCAGAATTCGGGCGAGGTGGTCGGTACACTATAACGAAGAGAATTGGTTGCAGGGATTTCCAACTTGGGTGCGAAAGACCAAGAACAAGGCTTTCAAATTAGTTATAGTTTAGTTTAGGTTTAGAGCTGATTAGTAGGCTAGAGTCAAAGATAGCTGCAACTCCACCTCCTCGGCCTGTGCCTCGAGGAATGTGAGTATTAATATGACTGGGAGGGGTGGATTCATTTAGGCTAACATATTCTCCATCACCCAGCCAGGTTTCAGTAAGACAAAATAGATCAATATCATAATCTGATATTAGTTCATTTACTAGTACAGCTTTAGAAGAGAGAGATCTGATGTTTAAGAGTCCACATTTAACTCTCCTATTCGTTTGCACTATTGCTCTTGTGGTTTTAATTTTTATGAGGTTTTTATGCACAGCTCCTCTTCTGTTTACCTTTTTAAATAATTTCGATGGTCGGGGGCAGACACCGTCACTATAGGGTTTTCACTAAGTAACTCCTGAAATGGAGGAGCAGAGAAGTGTGTTAGACTGTGACTCTGCGTAAGGGTTTTGGGTGGGTAACTGCTGAATTAGAAGGGCAGAGAAGTGTGTTAAACTGCGACTCTGCCTCCTGGTCTCAACTCTGGGTTGTCATGGATTTGGTCCACTAATAAACTTGGCCAGATTTCTAGAAATGAGAGCTGCTCCTTCCCAAGTGGGATGGATGCCGTCTCTCCGGATCAGACCAGGTCTTCCCCAGAAAGTCTGCCAATGATCTACAAAGCCCACATCGTTTGCTGGACACCACCTCGACAACCAGCGGCAGAATGACGACATGCCGCCCGCTCTGGCCCCAGGGATGCACTTAACTATGGCCGCTGGCTTCGCTAACTTCACGTTTCTCAAAATGGATCTGCCAATGATCAGAGTTGGTTTCTCAGCGGGTGTGTCGCTGAGTGGGGAAAATCTGTTAGAAACGTGAACAGGTTGATGGTGCCCCGTGGACTGAATACTTACCACTATTCCTCCTTCGGACAGTCACCCAGCCCCCCCCCCTTTACTGGCTGCTCAGGAAATCCCGGGGGACGGCTACCAGAGGCTAACTCAGGCCGTTCCGCACCGACTACCGGGGACTGGCTAGCTACAGTAGCTAAAGACTGATCTACCAAGGTGCGGAGCCGGACTTTTAAATCACTGAGCCTCGCCTCCATGTCTATAAATAAACTACACTTATTACACGTACCATTACCGCTAAAGGAGGCAGAGGAGTAACTGAACATCTGACACACCGAGCAGGAGAAAGTGGGAGAGAGAGAGGGAGAAGGAGAAGCCATCGCTAGCTGCTAAGCTAAAGTCACTAACGGCTAAGCTAAAGTACTGTAGCGTCAGCTACCAAAACTTTAGAACAACTATGAGATTGAACAGCAGTCACTAAAAGATGGAAAGAACTGAGTGCTTAGGCAAAATTACTGTAAAGAATAAGTGTTTAGCGGAGAGTTGGCCGCTGTAATCTAACAAATGTAA